AGTGCAATGTTCTCTCACCTTGAATTAATAGCATTTTTTCCACGTTTGAGAACCAGCTCTCATTGTTCAAAGAATAGGAAAGGTTGCTGCAGAAGTGTCTCTCATTTGTTGACAAGGCTATTTGATATTACTGATATTGTAATGTAGTACCCACATATTGCACATCGCAAATATCTATCATTCTTTGTGAACAATGACACTAGAACTATCCCTGAGGGGGTATAGAGATACAATCATTATTCTCATTTTCTAGATAAGGAAACTGAAATGAAATTCTTTGCCTAAGGTCAAAGAACAAATCATGTGCAGAATAAGATTAGGGCAGAGAGTTCTCAATTTTCAATCCTTGGCTCAATCAAGGAAGTCATATTGTTTTACTCGGTGTGGGAACTGATTATTATCATCAGAAGCAATAAGGCTGTGCCCACATGATGCCAAATGCCAGAAGACATGCTGAAAAATAAGAATTTGCTTAACCATCCATTTATTTATCCCTAAAACAACAGACTGCTTACTATGCTGGTTATTTTTCATTGAAATGACTGGATGTCTTTGTGCTTCTTTTCTGAGGTTTGTCTCTAGAGCTCATGTCTTTCAAAACATCTAATTTTGGCATATCTTAGCTTTTATACTTATTTGACATATTTGATTAGCCTGTATGATAGATGTGGGACAGATTTTTTCCTTGGTAGATTTCAATCGTATAATACTCCTTTTAAGTTAAACCACCCTCTTCTACTGTTTGAGACCGGGTGAAACAAGACCTTACTGCCAGGACAGACTGAGCTGGACCTGTCAGCAACTGCACATAAATGTCCCTGGCTATGGCAAATGATCTAGATCACATTACTACTCCAGACTCCCAAGTCAGTTTACTCTGAGGGCCTAAGGGGCCAGTCAGGTGGTCTGTGGTGTGGTCCATACAGTAGATAGATGCAGAAATAAAACTTTTTGAACAGGCAACAAACCTTTGTCATACTTCTCATACAAGGCTTACTTATGTCTTTCAGTAGATGTCAATTCTTATACATGTTCTGGTAGATTAATCAGTTGACAGGTGAACATTTCCTCCTAGGCCAAATAACACAAATGAGAAAAAAGAGGTAAATACAGGATCTGTAATCATTCAGATCTGTCATAATGCTACCGAGTTTTTGATGGATGGTTCCATTACGCCTTATAGTTGGCCTTTTTATATTTTTGCAGTTCAACCACTGAAGTATCTAATTTTCTGAACCCACAACAACTCACACTGAAAATGGCAAATCATGGTTCTCCATTTATAGACTACAGAATTTAGAGTAGGGTTTATTCCTTAAAACAAATCATTCCTTTTAAACAAAAGGAATATAAAAGTCATTTCTCCCCACTTTTAAGACCGCTGAATTCATTGCCACTTGGAAGGACAATTAGTATCTGTGGGAACTCTAGCAAATTGAAATTACTTTAGAAATAAGTTATATATGCATATACATAATATAATTTAATCTGACTACTCAGAAATACATATAACATCAAAAGTATCTTCATCCTGACTATGATGTATTGAATTTTCCTGCTGTAATTCCTGTGGCCTAATTTTAAAATAATATGACTTTCAGTTTTGTTCAGATTGAATATGGACATTTCATCTTTGCTTTGTCATGTGGCCCGTGATACCGCAAAGGAGTGTAATAACTATATATTGCCACTGTTTTTCAAAAACCAAGAAGTTAGATGTTGTCTTTAATGTAATTATCTTTTAATAGAATTTTATTAGTCTGTTTTCTTTTCTTTTAAAAATAGGGTTTCAGGGCTGGAAAGATGGTTTAGTATGTAATGTAGTTGTTGTACAAGTTTGAGGGTGGGGTTTTTGATCCTTAGGACCCATGTAAAAATAAAACACTGGGATAGCAGTACATATCTGTAACCTCAGAAGTCTCTCTCTGTTTCTCTGTCTCTCTCCATATCTGTGTCTCTTTCTTTTTCTCTGAGAGAGAGAGAGAGAGAGAGAGAGAGTGTGTGTGTGTGTGTGTGTGCATGTGTGTGTGTCTGGTGGGGTGGGACAGAGACCAGGATATCCCTGGTTCTCTTTGGTCAGTATAACAAACAAACATGAGCTCTAGGGTCAATGAAGTGAGAAACCTCATCTCAAAAGTAGGAAGGAGAGGGAAAGAGGCAGCCATGCCCCTGACCTCTGCCCTCCACCCATGCACACTGGCAAGTGTATCTGCACTTATATGTAGACAACAGGTGCTCTCTCACACACAGTATGAGACTAGAGTTTACTGATGCTCTGAGGGCGTTTGTGTACTATCTATTTAAGTTGACATCAGACCCCTCAGTAATTTACATTTCAATTTAAATTCACCAGTTGATGATTTCTGGTGCTCACTTCAGAGATGTTTGTGTGAGTTGTCACTCCATCCTGCACTGTGCTGTGCACTGGAAGTGCACGGGCCATGTCCTTCAAGAGATACTTTTATCGTCAGTGTATTTAAGCCTGTGAGTTGATAGAAGCCAAGAGCTTGAGTGGGCCGCGCAGGCTTGCTGATGGTTTTGAACGGAGATCTAGAGAGAGAGGCAGCTACTAAGCTGGCCATCCATAGGAAAAAATCATTCAAGGGAAGTTCAGAAGGTTCTAAGTATGGTTTAAGTTTCACCAAAAGACTGTGGAAAACCAAAACAAAAGTACAGAATCCAGGGAGAGAAAGCAACAGGCATCAGACCTGCACGTGAATGCAGAAACACTTGAGAGGCTGCAGCTTGCTAAACTTTATATTTACTTCAGTGTTGATGACATCAAGGCCCAGTGGAACTGGCATTCATTTCATTCACGTGTTAAATTATAACTTGGATCTCTCCTATTTTGAAGTGATTCTTTATACCATGAAATAAAATTATTCATACTGTGCTTGGAACTCCACTTGTATTCCCAAATATCAGTACCTGTTTAAGATAAAGAGATCGGACCCATTTAAAAAAAAAATCTGGCAAGCATTTACTCAAGCTTTCTTTATAATTAGTAGACATCGCCACAGCTGTATCAATCCCTGAGATTTCCCCCTTGATTGAGTAAATAATATAGAGTATTTTAACTCTTTCTTCATCTATTGATTTAAATCTCTTGCTTGGAAGCCTTTCAATCTTTTGCGGCCCATTAAAGAGAAATCCATAAATTTGTGTTTAATGTACACATAGTCCACTTCAATTTGGAGCCATGAGGTGGTCCATCTTGTTTAAAAATGGGAATTAGAAGAATTGCTTTTCATCATTTCCAATTACAGACCTATTGGCTTGCTAGACATCCCAGCTATAATTGATGCACGTCTCTTTTTGATAAATGGCAAAGCTTAAATTTTCAGGCCAATAAGTTATATAAATTGCAGCTGTACTTTATATTTCCCCTCCACTTCTCATATTTTTATTACATTGTGGAGAAATGAATTGAGGCTGACTCAGGATTGTTTACAGCTGTCTTTGATTTTTTTTGTTAGCCTTTTAATCCAGATACAGGAATCTATTATGAGCTAAGTTTTCCATCGTAATAAAAGCCTTCTACTTGGAGATGGTGATATAGGTCAATTAACCTTGACCCAAGAGTCGGTCAGTAGCATTGGTAAGTTGACTGATCAGGGTACAAGGCTGTACACTATACACTTAAAATTATAATGTAAGATAATGATATTCTCTTTAAGAGAGCTAACTGTCCAGTTGTGTTTTGTATTAAAAAAGGGAATGAAAGTAGGTTTAACCCAAATTCAGATGATATCTTTTTATTATCATATTATATTTTTGTTATCAACTTAGACAATTGGATCTTCTATTTGAAACCTGATAGTATAGAGCAGTGGTTCTCATCCTGTGTGTTGCAATCACTTTGGTGGTCACATATCAGATATCCTGCATATCAGATATTTATATTATGATTTACAACAGTTAAAAATTACAGTTATGAAGTAGTCATGTGTAGCTGACCCCAAGGACTAAGATTTACTTCCTCCAGAAACACTGTTTTCCACCTGGTTGCATCTCTTTTCAGGCATATTTCCTCCCTGCTGAACACACAAATTCAATCAATAGTTTGAAACCTCCATCAGCAAAACCACCCCAAAACAAATCCAGAAAAGGACGGTAATGGCAAAGTTGTTTTTGTCTTACTGGGCTCCTTTATGTCTCAGAATAGAAGCTTCTAGATAGCTCTCTCTGACTTGGCATTCCCAAGATCAGGCTGGACTTGGGGTCTTTCTGAATCTCACCTAGGTAGGAGAGCAAGGACTTTCTGGAGTAAAAGGGAATATTGTTAGCAAGAGAGAGTGATTAGTGGCCAATGACAGAACAGAATTCCCCTGGTCATTCAGACTACCAGAAAGTAATATGGGTTATTATCTCTGCAGATGCTGTAGGATTTGCTCGTGGAATGAACAATATTGCAGGGGAACATGTAAACCATGTTTTAGGCTCCATAGAATCTCTCCTGCTGCATTGTGCTGAATCTTTCTGCTATCAGTCTGCACGGAAGGGTGTCTACACAGTGACTTGCATTGGCACTGTGGAATTCCTTATAATACTTTACTCTGTTTCATTCTTCCCATTATTAGATTTCCTGAGGTAAAAGACCAGCATGAATTGAGCTTTTTTCAACACCTTGTGCTACTATCTTTGGACGCTGTGATTTTTTTAGCTAGATCAAGATTGTCTTGGTTCCATTGCTAGAATAACAGATTAAATTTTATGGCTTTCATCAGTGATGCTTGCTAGCCTTCCAAGCTTGGAATGTTTTACTGTTACTCTTACTTTTTAGTTTCTGTTCTCTCTTTCCTTCAGTCTGATCTCCGAGGAAGCCCCTGCTTCCTCACTACAAATTTTGGGTGTGTCCCCTTTGTAAATTTCATATATGCTGTGACAAAGATGAAAGATACCAGTTTTGTGAAAATTTCATTCCATACAGTGACAAATGGCCACAAAAAACGTGTGGGTTCGGGGATGCCGTTATTGACAGGATTTATTTTGTGTTCTAGTTTTAGATGAAGATGTTGTGAAGCACTACAGAATAAGAAGATTGGATGAAGGTGGCTTCTTCCTCACTAGGAGGAAAGTCTTTTCAACCCTGAATGAATTTGTGAGCTACTATACCACAACAAGTGATGGGCTGTGTGTCAAGTTGGAGAAGCCATGCTTAAAGGTAAAAGTATTTTAGCTGAATTCACTTAATATTCAAGTTAACACTTTCTCCTCAGACACTGAAGCATTTGTCATTTGCTCTCAGCTTTTAGAAAAATGCAATCATTTGGTTACTTAGGGCAGGAATAGGGAAACTGTCATAGTACTCTCCCATGTTCATTTTTAAAGGGAATTTGTTTTATTAATTATTTTATTAGAGACACACTGATTCCTTTACTATCTTTAGTTATTTTGTGCCCTTGTATTAGATAGGCTGTCCTTATCTAATGTAAGACAGGTTGAGAACTGTCTTAGGTGTGTCCGGTCAAGTTAATTATTCAAATAACCATTACAGTGCTCTGATGTATAACTGTCCTGGCCAGTTTTGTTACTGAAGGTGCCTACTTCATGCCTGAAAATTACTTATTAATTGAGGTAAGTGAGCGAATAGAAAACAAAGAGAAATGACAAAAATGGATTTGAAAATTGATGGTTTCATTTTGCAAAGAGATGTGATGCATATACTAAATGCTACAGCCAAGGAATATAGGAAAGACTTGTGAGGGAGGGAACTTTTCTGGTTCAGCATCACACAGACAGGCTCCAGCAAGGCAGGAGGCAGAGAGCTCCTGCAGACTCCTGTGAGGATGACACTGAATGCTGGTGGGGTGGATGGACACAGAGCTGGAACACATGACAGAGAGTTGGTTTAAAGACTTAACAGTACAGATTTTAATTTACGATATTTGGTATTTAGAATCAGTATTTTCTTTACAAAGTAAAGACTATTTTTCTTTTTTCATTTTGTTTGGGTTATTTTATTTATTTACATTTCAGATGTTATCCCCTTCCCAGTTTCCCCTCTACAAGCCCCCTATTCCCTCCTCCCTCCCCCTGCCTCTATGAGGGTACTTCTCCTATTCTGGGTCATCAAGCCTCCACAGGAGGGGCTCCCCTCTCAATGATTCCAGATAAAGCAATCCTCTGCTACATATCCAGTTAGAACCATGGGTAACCCCTGTGTACTCTTTGGTTGGTGGTTTAGTCCTTGGAGCTCTGGGGGGGGCGGTCTATAGACAATTTTTCAATCAAAATGTTACATATGTGAGTGTGTACACTGAAGTACTGTAGTGCATATAGGGGTCAGAGGGCAGCTGTGTGTAGTCATACCTCTCCTTCTAACTCTACATAGATGCCAGGAATCAAACTTAAGTCACCAGAGTCGCATGGGAAGTATCTTTGTCTAAGCTAGTACCATATCTTATTTCTCACAAGTATTCTCCTTTTTCTCTGAAACAGATCCAGGTACCAACCCCTTTTGATTTGTCATATAAAACTGCAGACCAGTGGGAGATAGACCGGAACTCCATACAGCTTCTGAAGCGACTGGGATCCGGTCAGTTTGGAGAAGTTTGGGAAGGTCTGTGGAATAATACTACTCCAGTAGCTGTAAAAACATTAAAACCAGGTATGAGAATGTCGAAGGTTAAACGGTATACATTGATTTTCTTTTTATTACAAATTCCCATCGTAAATGCCATAGACTTCATAGGACAGCTAGTGCTGGCAGCAAGCAGATATTGCCATCATTCTACCCTAGGTGACTATAAACTATAGATAGCTTTTAAAGTAGGAAGACAGGGACATGTTCTCATTTCAGTGAAGCTTAAAATACCTCCAGTTCTGTCTTTTGAAAAGTTAAGATCCCATTTTCCATTTTTTTTTTGTAATTTACTGACAAAACATACTTTACCAATCAGATGCAGGGGCTGGAGATATTGCTCAGTTGGTAAAGTACTTAACATACACGTGTGAGGCCCTTACTTTGACACCGCCCCCAGCACTCATGTGAAAAGTCAAGTGTGGCAGCACACATCTGAAATTCCAGCACTGACACAGTAGGACTCTTGTCGGCCAGCCAGTATCTCTGAATCTTTGAACTCAAGTCACCAAGAGGTTTTGTTTCAAAAAAGTGTAGACTGATAGAGAAAGACACTTGATGTTGGTCTTAGGCTTAAACACACACACACACAACACACACACACACACACGTACGCATGCACTCACACACACACACAGTCAGATGACAATGCTATTATTCAAGGAATAGCATTCTTTATTAAAGATGAACTGTACATAATAAAAAATAGTAATAATGCTAAGGCCACTCTAGCAAAGTTATTATAAAAATGAAATCAGACCATTAGCAGAGACACATTGTATAGTTCCTGGTTCAAAGTCAGTCATGAAAAAGTATATTGTTATTGTTGTTATAATGTTAGCAAATGGCAGAGCTTCTGACCCATAGTTGTTATTGTTGAATTATACCCCATCGAATGGCATTCTATGGAAACACACCGTGAGTCTCTGGCCACCTCATATCTCCCTCTAATAACACTGGAAGGATCGTAACTTGTGCAGACTACAGTGCTCTCTGGACCTTCATAATTTCCTTGTCCACAGCGCTTAACATTTTTTCAGAGGCCTCCTGGTGACTGGACTTAAGAATTTAGCATTTCTCAGATCTTAGTATGTACAGTACTATGTTTCCCAAACTCTGTGTTAAGGTATTTTTGGGAATCCCAAGGAGCTGACAAGAGGAGCCGAGGGACACTGGGAATAACATCTTGAATATGACCCAAAGTTGCTGCATTTAAGTAGTGTAGGGTTTCAGCTTTTGATAGTGTTGTATTATTTTTGTTGACACCATATTTGTGAATCATTTTTGATATGTCCTTTGACAATTCTATACATGTGTACAAGTATATAATGTATTTTTAAATCATTTTAATACACACCATTATGCTTTGATTTCCCCCTTTATTCCTACAAATACCTCCCTACTTTTATTTCTATTTTTTAATGATGATGATGATAATGATAAACTAAATTTAATCTGGGTTGGATAGGGGTGGTATTCCCTGGAACATGGGAAACTTACCAGCGGGTACACCACTGAAGAAAATTATTCTCTGTCTTTGTCTCTCTGTGTCTCTCTGTCTGTCTGTCTCTGTGTCTCTCTCTGTCTCTCTGTCTCTCTGTCTCTCTCTGTCTCTCTGTCTCTGTGTCTCTCTCTGTCTCCCCCCCCCTCAGAAGCCAACTTCCAGTAGGTCTCCAGGAAGGGATGGAGCCTCATGATACCCGTCAACATATATAATGGAATATTGACAAACACAGTTGTGAGCAGGTCTTATATAGGCAAACACAGCTGCCTTGGGTTTGTGCATGCAGCAACATTATCAGAAGACAGTGATTCACAGGATTCCTGCCTATCCTGTACTCTTTTATTACTGTCTACTCTTCCTTTTCTTCCCTCTAGAATGTCCCCTGAGCCTTGGTGTAAGGACTGATAATAGATGTCCTGTTTAGGTGTGAATTCTCATCAGTCACTTATTCTCAGTACTTTGACATTTAATGCGTCTTTGCACTAGCCACTGCACACCACATAAAGCAGCTTCTCTGACCACAGCTGTGAGCAGCCTAGTCTAGGGATAAAAATGTAGACATTTAGAGAGCAACTCAACAACATATTAATTTAGTAAAACAGGAGTAATAGGTTCCTCCCTAGGACCTATTACTCCACTAGCCTTATGTACTTTTTAACCAGGTTCCCAGTTCAGGCATAGATTTCTTCCCATGTACAGGGCCTCAAATCCCATCCGAAGAGCATCTGGTTATCACCATAACAGTTGACACTATTACCCTAGTGACAATGGCTTTCTATGGTAGCACAATACGAGGTGCTGACCGCCTCATATGTAGCTCTAATAATGCTGCAAGGATCATATCCACTAGTTAAACGACATCTTACCTGGCAGGTCAGGATTCTAGAATGCTGAGCATATAGCTGAGCAAGATCGAGAATGTTCTCTTCCCTAGCAGCCCGCACAACATCCTCTCCTCATCCCCGAAACTGTGAAAGCGATGGAGTGGGGGAAAGCTTCCAGCTTAGCTCCAGTTTGATTTCTCTATGCCAAATTTTGATGACTGCTATTATCAAATGGAAAATCCACACAAAAGTCAACCCAGACTAGGGCATGAGGAATAGCAGCACTTGATCACATTGCAACATTTGAGAAGTTATGCGGCACTCTACTCTGATTGTGCTACTTCACAAAGTAATCCCTTTCTCCTTTTAACTCTCCTGCATTACCTTCTCAGATAGCCATTAGTTTCCAAGGAAAATAATTTACAGTTGTTTGGATCTAACTTAACAATCAAATGAAGGGTTAAATGTTGTTTGTGGCATGGGGCATTGTGAAGAAAACCAACTGAGACATTAAGGATGCTAGGGACAGAAAATGTTGGGGTATTATAGTATAACAGGTCGGAGCAAGAAGTTTTGGGGTAAGATAAATCTGAGTTCAAACTTGGCTCCATCTCTGTGCCTCTGGATAGTTCATAAAACTTTCTCTGTTTCCTCATCGGGTTGTAGGAATCACAGCAGTTCCCCATTGCTAGAATCTTACGAGGGCAGATTAGATCAGTGGCCACAAAGGTTCCTAATGCCAGAAGTTCTTAATGAAGTGTTAGGTTCCAGCTACAGACAGAGCTCTCAAGCACAGGCTTGATCATATAGGAATTCGGCTCCAGCATCCATATCTGCTGTATGAAAAATCAGAGACACATTTGTATGTGGCTAGATGTCACCCAACGACTGCCAGTGAGGACAGTCTGTTCCATCCTTGATTGGTTCACAGTCACCATTCACATGCCCTTCTAATGCGAATCTTGTTGAGAACTGAGATGAAACTTTATTGTCCAATCTAAATTATCCTTTTCTAAAGATAAACAGGAAGCTGTCCTTCCTAACACTGCTCTCTGGAGGTCAAGAGAGAACAACAACAACAACAACGTCATATATCTTATGCCAAAAAAAGTCATGATAGTTTGCTCCCCAACAGGAATAATTATTATTGATTTACAGTGTAATAGCAGCAAACAGCTTTGGTGGTTGGTTAAATGTCTTCACTTTACTGGGGCCATTAATCAATCTTAGCAGCTATTTATTGCCTAGCAGACTACCACGAAATAAAGATGAGCCTGAAGTCAACTCCCACACTAGCTTTGACAGGCAAAAATTAATATTTAACGTTCACTTACTAGCTGGGTTGAGATCGGGACTCCCTTCCTCTGGTCAGCTATAGCAGGCCTGGCCATGAAAGTTCTAAGTAGTCCTCACGCACAGGAGGTCCCACTGTGCTTCAAGTTCAGCTCTAATAGATAGTCTGATTTGGGAATTGTCTATGTGTCCTGTAGAACTTGTCTGAATAATGATTATAAGGACTACTGTCACTTCAACCTTCATAATCTTCTAAAATTTTCTTTTGAGGAGAGTATCATATTATATCTATATTTGATATAGGTTATTTTTAAACACCAAGAAAAAACATGATTTGGTATGATTTATGTGTCTCTTTTGTTACCATCTACATTTTTCTACTATGATTCTAAATTTTAAACTTTTTTGACCAGTGGTAATGCTGGCACTGTGAGAACTTAGAAATAGTTCCCTGAAGAAGAGAATAGCTTTATTTCTTTACCTCTTTACAACCTTATCTCTTCCCTCCAGCCAACAAAAAAAAACAATTAATGTATTTGTTTTTCCTATGAATATGTAAAGTCATTATCACCACCACCTTCATCAACAACAGGAACAGTTATTGGGTCTAAGTGTGCTAGGCATTGCTATTATCCCGAAGTTTAGTGAGATCAGCCAACCTGCTCAAGACTACAAAGAGAGCTAGTAGTATTGCTGCAATTGTTTTAAAATTCACCTTTGAGCCTGGAGGCCGAACTTAGGCTTTGCAAAGATAGACTGTTTCACTACTTAGTGTGAAATAACATCACATTGACAAACAAGTCACAGTGCAACCTTTACAGTGTTGAAATGTATCTATGTCTGGATTCCCATGTCAACCATGAAGTCTTTGTCTGGAGCAGATGATGAATGGGATGATGTTCTGAATGAATATCAAGATGTGATCAATCACAGTGATACTTTTGGAACATTATATGCTAAAAATAAGAGACTTAAAAATTACTGTTGAAATGTAAACTCCAGGCATCTTTTCTTCTCCTTTTTATTTGATATTAATTCTTTGATACATTGCCTATGAGGTAGAGTTCATGTAAAATTAGAGTTACCATATCATTTAAAATCAATCTAACTGTAAATGAGTTTTCAAAGGAGGCTTCAGAGTCTCAAACCTTTAGGGCTCTGATGGAGGAACTGGGTGGATAATTGAGAAAAGGTTGTGTACAGTTTGACATTAAACATATAAAATGATGAGACTCACTGTTAGCTTTTGGAAACGTCCCTGAATATTTCTTAGTTGTCCTACACCCTATATTTCTACAAAATCAAGGAAAGGAATATGGCAAAGTCATAGTTTTGTGGTGTTTTTCAGCTGTTCCCAGATTGGGCATCAAGGACAGGGCAGAAGTCAGTCCTCTTTGGATCTAAAACCAAGATCTCTGACTGGAGTAATTAAACATTCTCTGTCTGCCTGTGTTTGCGTTAATGGACACTCTCTCTTTGTGTGAGGATGCCTGTCTCACGTCATCAATTACACTGTCAGTATCTCTCTGTTGTTTCATTTGTCATCCGGACCTGAATTCACTTGCTCTTCACCTACACACCATAGCACATAAACCGCATAACCCTGACGTAATGGCACATGTAGTAATTAGGTTGCCCTGGCTGAACTGATTCAATTCTTTGATAACTCTGAAGATTTGTGGCACTGATGCTCTTAGATTATCAAGAGGCAGGAGGCAATCTTGGTGCTTCCCACCAGGCTGCTGTGGGGATAGGAATGCCTCGGTGACATAAAGTGATTTCCTCCTCTTCTTGTTTCAGGTTCAATGGATCCAAATGACTTCCTGAGGGAGGCACAGATAATGAAGAGCCTCAGACACCCAAAGCTCATCCAGCTTTATGCTGTTTGCACTTTAGAAGATCCAATTTATATTATTACAGAGTTGATGAGACATGGAAGTCTGCAAGAATATCTCCAAAGTAAGCTGAAGGCTTAATAAAAGGAAGAAAAGGAGGAATTCAGTTTAGCTAGTCCCATAAATGTCAATTTAGCAAGCCTCCTATAACCCAAAAGATGTTTACAATGTGTGTATCTGTAAGAATGGATGTTGTAACATTGACCAGCTCAACTACTATTTAATGGAATATATTCTCTGTTCTCAAAAGAGCAAAAACATTTACGCAGTGAAAGATCTAGTAGTTCACAATAGACACATCAGAGTACTTAAGTGTAGTGTGGTAAATGCGTGAGTGGCTATTTTGTGTGCTTTCTTCGCCAGCTAGTTGAACATTATTAGTCATGAACAAATATTTTCTGTGGAGTAGACTTTATGGACCTGGAATACTTTAGAGAAAGATTTTTTTAAAAAGCATCTGAGGGTTTGTTTTTGTGTGT